ATATATATATATATATATATATATATATATATATATATATATATATATATCCCGGGTACACGGCCGAAAACGGGTTAACGGTCGTGAACGGGTTCTCGGCCGTGAACATGCCGATGAGTCGATTTTTCTGATTTTCGAGGAAAGTTGGGCTTTTCAAGTGTTTTGGTTCCGAAACCTATGTAAACTTTACTTAAATACTTTAAATCGATTACTAAAGAACTTAACGGAAAAGAATAAGAATCGAATTTCTCATTTACAAGAATTGACTTTTGTTGACTAGAAAGTTCCGGGTTGTCACAAACTCGCCGAGTTGGATGAACAACTCGTCGAGTCCCCTTAGTCTTAATCCATTAAGTCACTTCCTAATGAGTCCAACACTTCCAAACCATAGATCTGGTCCCCTAAGGCTGGAATATCACGTAAACTTGCTAACTTTATGGCCATGCATGATGTCAAGAAGCTAAAAACACCAAAACTAAGCTCCAAAAGAGGTCTAGGGCATGCGAAAAGGCCAAGGCTAGATAAAGCTTGAAACTTTCAATCTCATGAGGCCACAAACATCTAGATCTGAAGTCATGACCACAAAGCATGGTCACATCCAAGAATGGTTTCAAAACAAGCTACTAAAAGCCCTAAACTCCTCCATGAAGAGATCTAGCAAGTGAATAGTCAAGGTATAGACTTTATAACTTAATATGGCTGCCTTAACAAAGAAACCCATGGATCCAAAGCTTCTTCCTTCAACCAAGCACCTCCAACTTCAACTCCTTCAAGAATTTACCAAAGAATCACTTTCTTTTCACTCCTACACACTCAAGAGGGCTCAAGCTCGCGAATTAGAGTTTGTTGGACTGAGGGAGGCCACAATGAGGTGTTAAGGTCCTTAAATAGGGTGCAAACCCTGAAAATTAGGGTTTCACTCTGGCAGCCCTACTCGTCGAGTTGGGGCTCCCCAGCTCGTCGAGTAGGGTTCTTAACCCGCGTCCAAATTCCCATTTCTACGCGACGAGTTTGGGGCCTCTAACTCGTTGAGTCCCTTTGCAAAAAGTGAGAATTCTTATTTAAATACCTATCAGGAACCGGTCATTACAAACTTTGGCTAAAACCCTTGTATATTTGTGGGTTTTGAAGGATTCATGCTTAATTGTCATTTATCTTATGTTTATGATTCTAGTTCATATTTCTTATGCTTGTTTAATACTTTGATCATGAGCTTGGTACTTGAATGATCAATTGTTGGTTTATTTCTTTGGTTTAGAATTGAACCATGGAATTTACTTAGAAGAAGGGCTTTATGATGGTAGAAATCATCTCTAGCTTATGAATCATGACTCCTTGACATCCTCTAGGAATTGGGGATTCCTTCATTCTTAAGGCTAATCAACTTTATTGGGTTCAATTGCTTCAATTGAATCTGTGATTTTGATTAAGAATGGGTGTTGTAGGCTTCTCCAACCTCCATACTACCTATGAGGAATCTTGGCATATCATGTTTCATGATTGCTATAACCAATTTGGGATGAATGATAAGCTTCATACTGAATCCTAATGATAAACACACAAATTTTCATTGTGTTGAATTGCCTTTGTTAACCAATTCTCTCCAATATTTGAGCCTCTCCCCATCTTGCTTAATTGCAAGCTTTTTAGTTATTCAAGTCTTTTAGTTTTCAAGCAATCACAGCCCCCCCCCCCCCCCCCTTTAGTTTAATTGTAGTTAGTTTTATTACACTAGTTCTATTGGATTGTATTGGTGATCGAATACAACCAGTTCCCCGAGGATCGATACCCCTTTTTACCATTATATTACGTTTTATTTGCAAACAAAGGGTGTAATTTGCTTGGTGCACTTGACATCCCATCAGATGTAAACCAGGTGTTTTTCTTTTTGTGTTTTTGGGTCTTCCAGTGGGATCTTCTATGGCTCGTATTCATAATTAGAACCTCATTATGGAGAAGTTCTTAGTTAAGTTGTCTCATTGTAAGGCAAATATGTTATCGATAGGTGGTCATTCTGTTTTGATAAATCAGGTGTTAGGTTCCATTGGCATGTATTTTCTCTCTTTGTTTCGCATGCATGTTCAGATTAAAAAGAAGTTAGAATCATTGCATTCACAATTTTTTGGGGAACCACGGAGCGGACTACTAAACTTCCTTGTATTTCTTGGAATATAGTGATTGCATCTAAAGATAAAGGTGGTCTTCAGCTTGGTAGCTTGGAAGCTTTGAATTATGCCTTGTTACAAAAATGGTGGTGGAGATATTATCATTATCCTAATTCCATTTGGGTTAAGTTGGTAAACACGATCCATGGTACAAAAAATCGAGATGTTTTTCATCCTCAGGTTGTTCGTGGTGGTGGGGTAGGTCCCGTATAGTGGGGTCTATCAATACGATGCATGAAAAAGGTATTTTCATTAAATACTCTTATAAAATCTGTTGGAAATGGGTGTGATATGAGATTTTGGGCAGATATTTGGGTGGGTGAAAATCTTTTGATGTCGAGGTTTGATAGATTATTTACTTTGAACATGCGTAAAGTGATGGGTTTTGAGCATAACAAACAAAAACCTATGTGTGCATGCAACCCTAAATTTCCCGATCTATGTTTTCTCTAATTGAACATACAACATTTGAACATCAATTGGGAAACCCTAATTCTACTAGTATATTTTTTAAATTAATTACTAGGGTTAAGAAAATATACCTTAATTGCTATATAGCAATAACAATTCAAATCCTTAGTGTTGTTGAAGCTTTGAGAGTAAGCACCACAAGTGTCGTTCCTCTAATGGTTCACATCCACCACTAGCGAGAGGATGATAGAGGAGAGAGGAGAAGGAGATTTTCGGATTCTCTTCTAAAAATATGGTGGCCAAAAATACAAGGGTGAAGGGCCTTTTATATAGTGTAACAATGATGCCTTGGATAAGCCTTATTTGAATATAATAATAATATTCAAACTTGGTAATTATCCACCTCCTTAATTATCCATTTGAGATAATCTAGAAACCCTAATTATCTTAGGAATTTCGTCCACCACCTTCTAGGAAGGTTCTGGACCCTTTTTCTCAACTATTGAACAATTGTACTTTTAGTCCTTGCACTTTTAATTAATTCTTTTAATCTCAAAATTAATTCTAAATTAATTTCTGATTAAATATTAATTAAATAATATGATTTCTAATTAATATATTATTTTCATAATACATTAATAAATTATTTACTTCAATTTATTAATCAAATAATAAATTCAACTTCTCTCTCCAAATGTCATCCTGTCTGGTTGCTAGTTTTGAGGGCAACCTAAAAGGACTATGTTACTATCAATTCAAGTATATATCACTTATAGTTATGGGCTTAGACACCTAATCCAACATACAGGGTGTTTTGTTCATCAAAGGTGGCGTGCGATGGGAGCCTGATGATGGCGTCGACCCATAAGAAGTGGTGATGAGCAAGTGCAATTTGATGAGTTGAGGAGGATTTGGTCTGATGTGGTCCTTTCTGGTGTCAAAGATAAATGGTGATGGATTTTACAAGGTTCGATTGACTTTACGGTTTCTAAGACTAGGAAAATTGTTGATCAAATGCTGCTTCCGAATGCGGCTACTCCCACTAGATGGAATCCATACATCCCTAGGAAGGTTAATATATTTGTGTGGCATGCGTTGTTGGATCACCTTCCTACGATATGGAATTTAAGTCGTAAAGGGGTTGAAGTGGCTTCTTTGTTATGTCTGATTTGCTCTTCTTCGGTGGAAGTTTCGGATCATGTTTTTATTTCTTTGTGAGCTTGCGGTGAGTATTTGGAAAAAGATTTTTTGTTTGCTTGATATGGTTCAACTGATTTAGACGGCAATGGATGACATTTTTAATTGGATGGACTCGTTTTTAGAAGGTGCCAAGGAAAGGAGCATGGTGGAGGCTATTCTCTTTGTGGTTCTTTGGGGAGTTGGCAGTTTTGTAATGACCTGATGTTTGGAGAGTTGGTGCCTCGACGAGATGAGATTTTTTACAACATTATTGATTTACGTTTAATTGGTTCGTTTTTAGAAACTCAAAATTTTCTGCTAGATTAGTTGATTGGCTTAATAACCCTTATCTAGCTGTTCAGCCATTCTAAAAAAAATAAACTTAGCCAAACACCCTCTAAATGGTGATTGGATTAGTATAAAATCAACCATTGTAACACTCATTCACTTCTTTAGGAGATGTTCCTCCTCAATATAAGTTCCCCATTAAAAAAATCCTTCAAGAAAAGCTACAAAAGGCACCAACAATGAAAGCATAGTAATAACAAGTTCACGTCCAATCATAAGATCAAAATGCGACTCACGTTGCTGATGAATATAGGAAGTGAAACTACTTGATTAGAAAGCTATCATTAAAATAACTAAAAGTTCGTTTGGTACATGGGTTAATATGGAATTCAATGGAATAGAATTCTAGATTTTGTATCGGTTGTCAAATAGACTCAATTCTGTTCCATTAAACTCTACATATGGATTATACAATAATGTAAATTTAATTTATTAAAATATTTTACAACAAAATAAATGAAAAATACATAAATCTTAAAGTTAAATGACCACTACATAAATACAGAAATTTAACAATAAATATTATATTGATGGGTATTATTATTAAAAACAATAGTGTCCTAAAATAATTTTAAAAAAGTAGTGGCTCATCCGATGTAAAAGCAAAAGATGGTCTTATTTAGAATCTAAGTTACTAATAACACATAGAATTATAGAAAAACATGGAGCTTCACTCTCTTCCCAAGATTCTCTCATATTTATCATTCATGAGGCCATCACTCTCTCTTCCTATTTTCAATTTCATCATGGCCCTAACTTCTTCCAATCCAATCTTACCCTTCAATTTCAATCGTTTTCATCTTGTTTCAAGAATCTTTTTGGGATCAATTCGATGGATTCAAGAAAAGTGTGATAATATGTGCTATTTGGATCAAATTTGGAGTCAAAATATCAAATATGGACACAGAAGAGCGTACAGCAAACGACCCACGATGCACCCAAGTAACGGTCATGAAAGTGGCCAATATCGCATTCAATATGTTGATTTTTATCATCACGTTGGCATTGTGTAGTGTATTGCACATGCTCTTACGCCCATACTCCCAACCTCGTATCATATCCGAAGCCATTGTAATGTCTCTCTTGTGCCTTTCTCGTTTGTATTTGTTTTTATCATCTTTATGTATTTTGGTCACATGAGGGGCCCATACTGCCCACGCTCAGGCAGTTTGGGCATCTCTAAAAACCAAATCAGTTAAAAACATAAACATATGGTTCTAAAGGAGTTTTTTGTATATTGTTGTAGTTTTTCGTTTTCTTTCTGGGTGTTTGAATGTTTATCCAACCTTTAATGATTTAGTGTTGGTGTTATTTTTGTTCATTAAATCAACTAAGGAGTATTTTTTTTTTCCCATGCATGAATGAAGTGGATGAACTACTAATGAATAATGATGTTTGTGTGGGCAAAGTGATAAGTGTCCCAACGAGTTGAAATAACATTTTACCCTTACAAACCTAAAAACAAATTTTATAATATTCATCGATTTTAATATAAGAGGATTTGGAAGGAAAAAAGAAGAGAATATAGTCAAAAGGTTAGAATCTTAACACATTAAGCAAGCCTTTTTCACTTAATCCCTTAAGTCATTCTTTACATATTAAGTAAATTGTTGTTCAGATTAAATGGTATTAAGTCTAAAAAAACAGCCCAAATGTTTATAATTTCGATTAATTGATTTGTATATGATTCACTGTTTTTATGTCTTTTGCTCGCCTGATGCATGCATATACTATAGAGGTTCTCTATTTATATCATCTCTCAGATTTTTTTGATTTGTGGGTGTTTAAATATTTATTAAATTATTAATCAGCTAGCGTTAATGTTTTTTTTGTTGATTTATAATTTTGATTAATTCAAATGTCTATTTACATTCATGCTTTCTATGATTGTAATTTATTACAATAACATTTTTTTTGGATGTAGGTAGGATTCTTTTTGAGCAACCTACCCTTTCTACGTAAGAACTTCAATGATGACGCAAATACTGCCCTCGGTTATGTAGCAGAGTTCGGGATGATTTGCCACATGTTTGTTATAGGTCTTGAGATAGATCCTAACATATTTGTTCGGATACCCATTCGTGAAGCCAAAGTGGCATGTACAGGGTTACTAATTACCTTTCTACTATCACTTTTCATAACCCCGATGTTACATTTAAGTTACGAGCCTAGTATTGCGTTTGATGTCACAGTCTCGCTTGTTTTATCGGGAACGGCCTCCCCCCTCCTGACACGTATCATCAACGACCTCAAAATTGGGAAATCTGATATAGGGAGGTTCTTGATTTCGACTGCTGTCATATCCGATCTCATTTCCATTATTGTGCTAACCCTAGGGTACATAGTTTTCGATCCGTTGGATGATTTTGCTTTTCGAAAAGTTAGAGATATACTGCTTATTCTTGCGGTTCTTGTCATTCAGACGATTCTCGCAGCTAAATGTATACCCTTTCTTATGACATGGGTGGATAGTCATAACCCGCAAGGGAAGTTAATGAAGGGTCCACACTTGATTGTCTCAATAGCTAGTCTTGTATTCGTTTGCAGTCTTTCACCATGGATAGCACATTTCAACATGATGCTAAGTACGTTTTTGGCCGGAATCGTGATGCCTCGTGATGGGAGGCTATCGAAGTTATTGACGGGTAAAGTTAAGTACTTTTTTGGACTTTTGTTCTTTCCGGTATTCATGGTTTGGGTTGGTTTTCAAGTTGACTTCTCCGAATTCGAAAGTCATAACTTATTCACGTGGGCTAGCATAGCTTTTCTCTTTGCAATCATAGTAGGTGGAAAAGTTTTCGGCAGTATTATTTCTGGGATCATGTTAGGGTTTCATTGGCAAGATTCGGTCGCAGTAGGGTTACTTCTAGGTATCAAGGGTCACTTTCACATCTTCATGGTTCTCTTAGCCGAGCAAGTAAGCTTGAATCTTCGATGTTTTCTTAAACAAAATTTTGTAAATATCCGATTAAAATGATTAAAACTTTATCTTGACGTGCTTTCCATATCTTCATTGCTTATGCAGAGAAATATATCTAGTTCCTCAAATAGCAGTGCTATTGTATTGGTTTGCTTCCTCACATTCATCTACGCCCCTATGGTTGTCAAGAGCATCATCAAACGTGCAAGAAAGCGGTCACCAACACAACGTATGGCCCTCCAATGGCTCAATCCATCAAACGAGTTGCGAATAGTATTATGCATTCATGGCCTCGAAAACATTCAATCAACCATTAACTTCATGGAGATCTCACAAGGGCCGGAAGAACCCCAAATGACAGTTTACGTGAACGATCTGATTGAGTTAACTGAAACGGTAGCTTCCACGGTGGCACGTGGAGAAGGAGTGGACGCGATGACTATAACAGATGTGGGTGTTATAGAGATGAGAGAAAACATCACCAACACAATACAAGCTTATGTAAACGACCATTGTGAAGGGATTGATGTACAAAGAACGCTTACGCTATGTCCAATGGCCACAATGCATCACGAAATTTGCACACTTGCAGAGGATATGTTGGTTTCGTTAATCATCCTCCCATTCCATAAGAATCAACAACCGGATGGAAAGTTCAATGCCAACCATTTGGCGTTTCGAAGTGTCAATAGAAAGGTAATAATACAATATCTCTATTCCTAATAATTTTTGTGTCAATAGAAAGGTACTAATACCATATCTCTATATAATGTTCATAACAATTACAAATACAAACATGAACGTGCCTAATACATACAATTTGCATGATACGTATTAATATGTATCATACTATCATACAATATGTATGATACCTACTAGTGTGTTGCGCATACATTAGGCACATTGTGTCTCGTTATACAACGCATAATGTGCCTAATGCATAAAAGTATGTATGTATTTGTATGCCTCGTTACATATTTATTTGTACACTTGCTTAAAGAATTGGAATAATGACATGAAAACGTTACTCATTTCATGCAGGTTTTACGGTACGCACCTTGTTCGGTTGGAGTTTTAGTGGACCGAGGTCTCGGGTCAAACCAACTAACAGGAGGAACCCAATGTATCAAAACCGCAATCATTTTCATCGCAGGCAAAGACGATCGTGAAGCACTTGCTTACGCGGGTCGAGTGGCACGACACTCGGGAGTCAAACTCACTGTCATACGATTCGTATTGGACACCAGTGGAAGCAACACATCATCAAGGATCACAAGGTCCCGAGCCAACACTGTGGAATACGAAGAAGAAATGAAGGAAGATGATGAGTACTTTGCAGAGTTTTATGATCGACATGTGGCTACGGGTCATGTTGCGTATATGGAAAAGTATCTTTTGAATTCCGGTGAGACCTATTCAACTATTAAGTCGTTAGAGGGTGAATATAGTTTATTTATTGTGGGAAGAGGAGAAAGGGTTAACTCAACATTAACTGCGGGTATGAATGATTGGGAGGTGTGCCCGGAGTTAGGTCCAATCGGGGACATTCTTTCGGCTCCGGATTTCTCGACTACGGCCTCGGTTTTGATTATTCAACAACATAAACTTAGAGGGAAACTTCAAGGATTGCACGAAGAATTCTCCATTATGTAAATTAGTTAGGAAATATAGCTCTCGTGTATTATTGTAAAGTAGCAATGAAGAATGCAAGATTCGAGTTGGAATTTAGATTGAAGTTTTTTATCCATCGATAATATAGCCAATCGTGAATCTAGATCAGAAGTTAAATTATAAGAATGGATGGTTTATATGTCCTTTCATCAAAACCACACAAAGTTTCAAGTTTGTGTGTTTGAAACCGATGTCAAATGGAACAAAAATTGCAGCTTTTTTTGGGACATCACCTATGCAAATTATCATTGAAAGTGGCCCTAGAAAGCTTAGTTGCATCCCATGTAACAAACACATCCTTTAAAGCACATATTGGCATCAATAGATCAAAAGGAAAAGTTACAAGTTTTAAACTTTTTGCACATAAAGGCATTCACTATTGACACCAAAACGATACCACTTTCTGACTTACATCCTACATAGGGCGAATTGATCAAAGAAAAGCACCAATTTCTTGCAGTTAAACATCAAAGTAACAAACCAAAATAAGATAGTTTATATGCCATCAACCCAATTAGTACTCCCCAGAAACCCTTGCAACCTCCGCCTACAAAACATAGGAGATGAAAGAAATGAAAAAGAAGATTTATTTAAAAAAAAAATAGAAGAAAAAAAAAAAGCATTTGTAAACTTGCAAACTTTAATTTTCCTAAGAAACATTGAAACGAAAATTAGTTACGAGTATTTGGGCCATAACCCATAACATGCTATAATACACAAGTAGATATAAAAAAATTGCTATTTCTTGCATTTAGTCACTTAACTATTTTCTGTAGTGATGAACACCATTATAATTTTTGACAGTTTAAGAAAAAAAAAACATTTTCTCTTGGTAACAGGCTTTAATATCAGCAAAAAATTACTAGAAAAGCACAATGTAATTTCACCATTTTATTGGTTTAGAAATTGGACTATTATTTTTTTTATCGATTTAGCTAATCAACTAAATAAAATAACACTTCATTTAGCTAATCAATAACATGGTGAAAGTATGTTGTGTGTTTTTCTGTATTTTAACCTTTTTCAAAACCGAAAAACCAGGAAAATTTGATAATATAAAACATGTCTCCATGAGTGCACTACACTAGTTCAGATTCTAGCCCTTTTTGGCAATTTTCTGTTTATCAATGAAATATATTTAAGAAACTGGCTTTAAATAGGATTGTGTGCAAAGATGCTATTGATGTTAGAAGACCCCTAAAAGTGGTTCACTGCTTTATTTGTGCTATTAAATTTATATCTAAAAGAAAGAATAAAAAAGAATACCTCAAATGCTGCCTTCAGATGATCAAGTTCTTTGTCCAGATCATTGATGGCTAGATTATAAGCCTGCATTGGTGAAGACTGGCTACTTGTGTGAACCTGTCAAATGCACATCAATCATGGAGAGTCTTGAAAATTTATTTACCAAAGTTATGGATCTAATTTAACAATTAATACAGTAAAAATACAATCATCTACAGATACTGTTTTAACCCTTTAAGTAACCAAATGGTGAGTAGCAATTGAAATCAGTGTTTAATAGAAAGCACTACATACTGTTTTAAATCAACTAAAAGAACAGAAGTTCCTAGAATACTAAATACTAACCCGAACAATGATTTTGTACTGAAGAGGGTGAGGAAGCTTGTAACCAGCAAACAGAACATTCCCATCCCTATGCAACTGCCTGTTCATATGATATAAATTTATATAGGAGTTTTTAATTAGGATTAAAGTGTATGATTTAGAAGATAGCTTACATGCGAACGATGTTTCCAATAGTGTGATCTTCTCTTTCTATAGTGAAGGAAGCTGCATTTATGATCTTTGTGTCCCTTTCATAGGAAACCCTAGGAATTCATTCGTTTGTCAAAGAAAACACAGTGAGCATAAAGATAGCAATCATGAATGTGACATTTCATCATTATATGTATGAAAATAAGGACAAATACAGGGAGAAGTTTACTTCTTTGTGCCTTCAGGAACCACAAAGCGCTCATAACGATCAGGGGCATTCATGGCTCTTTCCTCTGGGATGTAACACAAGGGAGAAGAGAACAATCAATTTGTGTTTCTAAAATCAAAATATATACGTGAGAATCGATAAATCCACAACGAACACCAGAGTTGGAATCACGGTCCTAAAGTTCAATTTCGTAGCAAAATAACCCTTTGATTTAGACCTTTTGTTGAAATTGAAAAACACTAAGTAGTAAATCTACAAATTTCCAGTTGAATTTCTTGAAAAATGGGAAGAAGTTTCTATTTGTTAGGGTTAATAAATCAAACACGAAACCGAAGCTTGCTCTTTGTTAATTTGAAGAACTGAAGAAAGGATGTAGGTTAATACCTCAACTCACAAACGAAGAATGTTAACGCAATTTGGAGCAACTAATGCCTGAAACCATAAAACGAAAAGCAAAAAAATAGAACGAATTACTGATATTTAATGACGCTTGGAGATATAAAAAGGGGAAAAACGAATACCGCTGCTGTGGAAAGAAGTGAAGACAAATTTTTGGTGTGATTTTGAGGGAGAGAACTCACCAGTTCAATAGCGAGGAACCTGGGGTTAGCAGTCGAGCCGTGGAGGAGGGTTGTATTTCAAAATGGGAAGGAGTACGGTAGGAGGCGGAGATTGGGAATTATGTTTCCTCTGTTTCATACAACCTTAAATATAAAAGAGAAAATTATACGATTTACCCATGGTTGAAGCTATTTAAAAAAAAAAAAAAAAAAAAAAAAAAAAAAAAAAAAAAATGTTTATTGCTTATTTTTTATTTTCATCATAATAATAAGCTAGGTTTAAGTGTTTGGATAGGAATCCTTAAAAATCAGCTTATTGTGGTATGAATAAGCTAAATAAGTTGATTTTAATAAGCATCCCTTGCTTATTGCTTATTGCTTATTCCCACCATAAACACTTTTGTAAAAACTGTTTATTTTCACCGCAATAAGCTAATAAGCTATAAGCTAATTTATCCAAACACCCTCCAATTCAGATCATCCTTTATCCTTTAAATTGTTGGGTGTGGCAACATGTTACCACACCCAAAAGGTGTCACATCATCATCTAGGGGTGAGCGCGGTACTGTTCGGTGCAGTTAGTGGTCAAAACCTCACCACTAACCGCAAATGCGGTTAATCCATTTTCAAAACCGTTTGGTGCGGTTATTTTTACAATGCGGTTAGACGGTTATTTCTGTGGTGCGGTTTTGTTTTTTTTTTTTTTTGTCTTTTGGTTATTAACTGCATGGATTTGGTGCAGTTAATTTGTGTGGTTTTTAACCACAGTTTAGAGTTCAAACGGTTTTAATAGTTCAAACATATTACTTGTAATAATAATAAAAAGAATAAAGTATAAGACAATTAACTTAAATCACAAACAACTACTATCTTAAAAACTGTAACATCAAATATCTTAAAATTATGAAATTTCACCATTTTCCAAAGTTAAACATAACAAAAATAACACGTTTGTCTTCTAGAATTTTATCATTTTTTCATCCGTGAAACTTGTCTTATTTTTAATATTTAATATATTAATAATTATTAAAAAAAATTGTATATAATATATGAGGTGCGGTGCGGTTTTTGAAAACTAATAACCGCACCGCACCGTAAATTTGCAGTTTCTGAAAAACTGAAAACATCACCATCGGTTTTTATTACGGTTGCGGTTTATGCGGTTTATGCGGTTTTTGCAGTTAATTTTAGTTGTGGTGCTGTTTTTTGCTCACCCAATTCATCCTAATCATACATTGGTGTTATAACACCCAATGTGGAAATGGGCAACACCAAATAACATGTAATAACACCTCTTATTTTCTTTTTCTTTTTGTATTTTTTTTTTTGATGTTTTTAGTTTCTATATTTCCAATTTCTTTTTTTTATTTATGTCATAATATTTATAATTATCATATAAATTAAATCATAAATTAAAAATAAGGTTTAAAAAGTAAAAATAAAAATTTAAATCCTAAATTAAAAACAACATAAAAAAGTTACAACTAAGGATAAAAACACATTTAAAAACCTAAAATCCAAGAAAAAAAAAAAGACGAAACAAATTACATTTTTGATCTAAATTATTCATATTCAGTGTCATCGTAGATATGATCCGCCAAGTCTTCTCGAAGTTGTTTGTGTTTTCGTTGGTCTTGAATATCAACGACTCTATGTAACTATTATGTTGTCCCTAGTTGAAATTAAATGTGTCCAGGTTCCGTATGGCGAATACTCTGCAATGCTTCGTCCTTTATCTTCAATCACCATGTTATGCATAATGATAGATCCATACATAATATCTCGTAGAGTGTCCAACTCATATGGTCGTTCCGCATGTTCAACTATGTACCATTTTGCTTTCAAAACTCTGAAAGCACGTTCCACGTCCTTACGTGCTCCTTCTTGTCTTCTCTTGAAAAATTTGTCTCTTGGTTCTATCAGGTGTCGAAACGCCTTCACAAACGTGGAATATGGTGGTATATTCCATCCGTGAGGTAATACCCGAACTTATACTCATGGCCATTTACTGTGTAAGGAGCATCCGGTGCCTTTCCTGTCAAAAGGTCCTGAAATATTGGTAACCGGTCAAGAACGTTTATGTCGTTGTTAGAACCCGAAATTCCGAAAAAGCATGCCAAATCCATAAGTCTTGTGACGCAACTGATGGGTTTTATACATGGCAAACAATCATATGTGTGCATGCAACCCTATTTTTAGGATCTATGTTTTCACTATTAGACATACAAGCATTGAACACAACAACTAGAACCCTAGGAGACACATGTAATTTTCGAAGTTAACATATAATTAGGGTTAGGATACATACATTGATTGTTATATTGTAATAACAATCAAACCCTTGAAGATCTTGAACTTTGGTAGCGAGCGCCACAAGTGTCGCGCCTCTAATGGCTCACAAACAAACCTAGCAACCAAGGAATACTTTAGAGAGAGAGAGAGAGAAGTAGAGTAAAATTTCGGCCCTTAGGTTCTTTTTGGAGTGCATTGGCCGAAATTTAACCCTAAGAGGGTTTATATAGGTGCTAGGAAGGTATTGGATTAGGCATGTGTATCCAAGATAACCCTAATCCTTTAAATTCCTCCCTAAGGCATCCAAGGCACCCTTAGAGCCCAAGGAAACCCTAGGAACACCCTAGAATTCGTTCCCCCCCCCCCCCTTAGGGAGGTTCTAGAATGCTCAATGCTCAACTATTGAATATTGTCACCTTTAGTACCTGCAGTTTCAATTAATTCCTTTAATCCCAAAATTAATTCCAAATTAATTTCTGATTAAATATTAATTAAACAATATGATTTCTAATTAATATATTATATCCATAATACATTAATAAATCATTTATCTTGATTTCAAATTAATTTATTAACCAAGTAATAAATTAATAAATCATTCTTCTCTCTCTAACAATTATCCTATTCAATTCCAAATAATAAATTCTTCCTCTTTCTCAATAGGTCATCCTGTCTAGTTGCTAGTATGAAGGCAACCCAAAAGGACTGTGCTACTATCAATTCAAGTGCATACCAATTATAGTTATGGGCTTAGACACCTAATCCAACAGTCTCCCAATTGGATAAGTCTAATAACTATTGTTGCAAGTATACCTTCAAAAATTGACGAGCAAATTTTAGCTACCAATAGCCGTTGTCGAACTCTGACCTAGTCAGTGACTTGTCCTTAGATAAGTGATCAAATATCCCACCGTTCTACAAGATATCATATGGACATGATACATGGATTATAATCAATCTCTTTCAAAGAGTTGTTTCCCGATTTCCGATTCATGACGATTGACTCAGAATACAACTGAACACATCAACTTAGTCCAGGTTTGGCCAAGCGCTTTAGATGTCATCACTAAATCATCGAGGGGCCCACAGATATCGCTTTTATCCCATTTAGGGTAAAAGGAATGGATAAACTTCAACTCATATGCGTGTACTATTTACTCATCAAATCACACACAACAACACGTTTTATAACATCAAGTTACTGATGCGTTTACGTATTATCAATGTACAACCGACTTGTAAACAACAACTCATATGTCTCCGTTTCAAGAATATAATATATTATCGGTTAAAAATTACTCATGATAAGATCCATGAAGTAATTCACTGAGTGTGGGTTGATCCGATACTAAAATTCCTATTTCAGGAGTACTCATGAACACTGCAACAAACTTGTGCCATGTCTAAGCTCTTTGACAATCTACAGTCGGATTCATGACAGTCTTAATTCACTACTTACTTCCAAAAGTATGATCGACTATGGATGTTTGAATAACCTAGTTATTCGGAAAGTAAAACATTCGAAGTGAAACACAAGAATAACCTAATTAACTATGGTCTCAAAACTTTTGAATATAAATAAACACCTTTATTTAATCACCATATTAATCAAACTTTATTCATTGTATAATGTTTTGAGTAATCAACTTAATACTTGAATTAAAACATCAGTCATGCCATGCTCCAAGCATGCATACTATGTTTATCTATGGTCCTTCCTTTGTGAAAACAAATCAATTAGATATTACTCCAATGATACTCATTTCACAAACCAAATCCTCATCACAAGGGTAAGAATACCAAATTCTTGCCGCTACTAGAATCTGTTAGAGTCTAAACTTACATGCAATGATCCTTTTGTAATCTCGAGGCATCAAAGTCACAGAGACTTGCCAATGATATTACAAAGCATTCCGTTGGAGATTGGTTACAAAAACAATTCCATGGAAATGAAGTCTCATATTCAAAGAGCATTCCTTGATCAACATCCTTCTTGCATTAAAGTTTCTAACTCACACATAGATCTCAATATCCAACTCCCATTATGGAAACATTTCCATATTTCCATATGACTATCAATTTTGAACAAGAGTTACCTCCACTCTGAACATGTCAATATGGTCCTTCCAAATTTATACTATACTTCCAACTGTTCACAAGCAACCAATCTTTGGTAAACTTCAGATTGTCCTTGACAGTTGTTTAACAACTTTAGCCATATCAGATTCTATTCCTTTTTCCTCTTAATGCCCTAGGCCTTTGGAAAAATTAGAACAAGCGAATACTATAGCATATGTAATCAATCCTATATCCGAAGCATATGGGATTCGATACATAATCTTACATAGAGACATGATACTTGATCAGTCTCTTGCTACAATATTTTCATATATTGTATTTCCTATGTTGAATTATTTCAACATGATATTCATATATGTCCATGACTAAGTTTGATTAAAATTTCAATCTAAGCTTTTAGATTCGAAATGAAGTATAAATGCCCTCTCCCTTAAGCCTTACTATAGCGAAACAATTTCCAAATTCTGCAACTTGCAAATTTGAGATCTTTGTTTCCTACAATTAGTATTTCCAACTTGCAACACTAAGCATAACTATTATGCTCCCACTAGCCTAATAATTATATTCTTACCATCATAACAGTTATGCTCCCACTAGCTTTGAAATGTATCCAGAAATCAACTGGACTTCTAGAAATCAATACATGTTGACTTTCTTACCAAAGTTTATATTTCTGATACATGGTGCTTTGATAAGTCTTTATCTAGACTTCTGAAGCTCATACACCTTTCATTAGACACCTTATGTGTGTGTC